TATATGTTATACTAATTTACCAGATTTTATTGTATGGTCTAAATCTCAAACTCACATCTCGATTCGTAAGGGACTCACTTAATCATCAAATTATTGATCAAGTAATTTAATGCATTAAACTCATAATAAAACCAACACTTATAAAAACAAACCACATAAATATTGAATAGAAAAATAAATGATCACAAGTCGACTATATTGTTTTCCTTAGTATAAAAATTAGTTATTCATATTGTAAAAATAAAAATACACAAAAGTAGAAAGATATCACCAAAAAATTGACGATACTTGAAATTTTTGATGTCTGCAGTCTCCTTTCCTTATTCTCTTTTCTCTTCTTCTTTTCTCTCTCTTTGCTTTCTACTCGCTTTTTTTTTTCTTTTTGACTTTTTTCTCCCTTTCTTCTTTGCTTCTCTCCTATTTCTTCTTCTTTTTTTTTTTTTTTCTATCCCTTTTGGGCGTTTCTTTTCTATTCTCCACCTGTCTCTCTGTGTCTATATATATGTGTGTGTGTGTAGGTTTAGTTTTAGTCTTCAATTAAAATTTTCAATGGAAGTCTATATAGACCCATTTAATGTAATATTTCTCTTCAATGTTTCATTTTTGAATTTTGTCATTTTTTGTCACTTTTGCATTCTTTTTTTAATTCTTCATCAAACATAAATTTTTACATACAAAATACAATATAACATAAATTGGGTAAAATTTTATCCAAAAGACAATAAAATATCATGATTTAGGATCTCGAATAAATATAGAAACTACACTTATCAGTATGTATTTGTTATAATGGTATTTCTTCCGTTGTTTTGAGTTTAATTGAAAAAGATATTTTATGAATATTAGAGTTTTAGTTAAAAGTTAAGTTCAAAAAAAAATATAAAATATTCAAAAGAATTTAATAAGGATAAATTTAGTGGATGAATTTAGAGTTATAGATTTTATTTGTTAATTTTTATTCTTATCTATTTTAGTATATTCATATAAAATTAGAAATGTAATAGATTAAAAAAAAAATGTGGTTAAATATATATAAAAATGGTAGATGAAAATAGCGACTCCCAAATAAACTTTAAAAAATGAATGAAGAAAGAATCTGTAAATGAATAGAGAGGCGTCGTGTTCTCTTCTTTGTTGGTAGGGATATAACGATGAATCCATTAACTTGTAGAGTTCATTTTAGCTTTATTTGGGTTTATTAACTTTTATTTATCCCTTATTAAAGATTTTAATTTAAGTCAAAGTCACCAATTTTGAATTTTTGTCATTTTTTTTTGAATTTTTCACGTCCAACTTATAAGTTGTTGTTTTCCTAAAATGAAGTTACATTCCATATTTAGTTAATACAAGTGATACTTAATCACAAAGAGACAACATGTAGAAGATCTAACAGATCGATACTAAGATTTTGATGGTGTTTTTCACCTTTTTTTCGTTTATTTGTCACTTTT